AACCCAGGAGGCAGAGGTTGCCGTGTACTGAGATTGTACTACTGCACTCCAGCCTGGGTCACAGACTGTCTCCAAAAAAAAAAAAAAAAAAGCTGATTTTGGGGACATGCTGCTTGGGTTTAAATCCCAGCCCTGCCTAATGGGATCTACCGTGGTCACTCACCTACTAGCTGAGTGACTATGGGCAAATTCTTAACCTCTCTGCAAATTTTTAACCAGCCCCATTTCCTGGCTTATTATTGCCAGCATCTGTGTTCCTGACAGTAGGCAAAGACACAAGGGATTTAGCCTCTGACCCCCTCCCTTCTAGCATTGAGAGATGAACTGAGAATCAAGTAAATGTTTGTGTTATACATCTGGTGGAAAAAAAGTATATTCAGTATATAGTAGTTACCTTTAAAAAATGAAAGTTTCAGTATAGACCAGAGTGGTGAAAAGGAAGTTTAGGGGAGTCTTCATGGATCAGACAAGTCTGTTAGTTGAAGGAGAGTCTATCGACTATTCCCAGTTCTTCCTTCTGGAACAAACAACATAAATCAGTTTAATTCCTTCTGTGTGACAACGCTTCACCTTATCAAACGTAAAATATAAAAGGCATAGTCTGGGTGAGTGTGGATTTTTCCCCCCTTAAAATTCCATAGCTTTAAAGAGTATTTTGTATATTTTGGCTAAAATTTAGGAAAAACAAAATGAACCCACTAATGGGTGATAATTTTGTAGAGCTCTTTAACTTTTTAATCCAAAAAATTGTGTGGACTGTAAATTATAATTCATTTCCATCAACTCATATATGATTATTCAGCAAAAGTGGAAATTTGAAGTAGATTCCAAACGTTTTGAGTTTTAAAATATTCTAAATAGTGTGTTATTTAGATTCAGCCTTGAGTGACAAAAATATCCAAAATAAGAGTGGCTTAAACAAATAGAAATATTTTGCTGTCTTGTAAAAGTCTGAGCAGGTGATGTAAACTGTTGTCATGTCTGATGGTGTCAAAAATATGGTTTTCTCTTTCTTGTTGCTCTCCCCTTCTTAAGTCTGGTCTCGAGGTGCAAAATGGTGGCTTTGATATTCCAGGCTTCAGGATGAAGGAAGGGATGAAGACGAAGTTGTTAGGGATATTTCTGCTTTATATCTCACTGGCTGGAACATATTCATGTGGCCGCATCTATTAATAGTTGCAAGAGAGGCTAAGAAGCAGGGTGTACACTGTGTAGCCATGTACTCAGTTGTAATTTGGGAGTTTCATGTATGGGAGAAATAAAGATGCAGAAGATATTGGGGGACAACCAGCAGTGTAATGTAATTAGTACAGCTACTTACTTGAGTAGGCCTTCATTAAATCGTTGTTCAATGGATGAATGTTTCTAATTGCTCCTGTCAAAGTAGGTATTGATCTGGATATTTACATATATAGATGATAAATTATGGCAAGATTATTTATTATTGATGTTTTTATAATTTTATTTCTCATCTACTCTTTACAAATATGGTATATCTGACAGTCTTCAGGCAGATGTAATACTGTCCAAGATTCATTTCAGTTTATTTATTGCTGTCCCCCGCCCTCCAAAAAACTTGGAGGTGTATTTAAAAATCTCTTCTCATGTGTCTATGATGACCATTTCTTGCATATGCTCGGCAAATGTTTTTAGATTGAATAAATGAATGGTAATAAAACCTTGAGGCATCCAAGCCTTTTCTTTTAATTTCTTTTGTTTCGATTTACACAAACAAAAGTTTATATCTATAATATACATAGAAGAAATTCTTGACCTTAAATCTGTATTTATTACAAGATTTTCAGGAACATTCATTCAGCTTTCAGGTGGAATGTGGTTAGGTTTGGATTTAATTATGGTTAAGTACCAATTATGGCATTATTAGGCAAAAAAGGCTAAACACCCATTGTAGGGATTTCAGTGCTAGTTATTTCATTGAGGCTATCGGGGATTTGAGGAGAGAGACGTATTTGTTAGACCACCCTGGCAAGGTGTTTGAGTATTATAAAATTCCCAAAGATGAGTAATAAACTACTCAGGCATCAAGAAACCATTTAGCTTACTTTAACTGAATAGAAAGTTCCTAGAAATCGATAAGGTTTTTCTGGAGTCCTGGAAACATATTTTGGAATGTTAGTAAGTTATATTGCTTGAACTTGATTTGTCTCACTTTGTTTGTTTTATATGCTGAGAAAGTAACTTTCAAGCTTCATTAAATTTTTTGACATAATTTACAGTTTGCAAAAGTTATTAAGATAAAAATAATCTCCAGCGACAGAAACTCAGTTCTTCCTAAGTCATTGCATTACATGTTTGGAGTACTCTGACTGAGGGTATTACTGTGTGGCAGTTATGCTGGCTCTGAAGTCAGATAGCCCAGGTCAGATTTTGTGCCATCACTTACTTTGTGACCTCAGGTGACTTATTTAGCTTCTCTGTGCCTCATCTATACACTGGAGGGTAATAATACTTCATAGAGTTGTAGTAGGGTTGAGAGAGCAGGGCACCTAGCACTTAGAATAAAGCTTAGTACATAATAAACAATAAATGTCATTAATGGTCACTTTTGTCATCATTATTAATGTTTTCTTCAAAATGAGTTAAAATATGACTCCAAGAAATATTTAGAAGATTATATCAGTTGACTTTTTCATTTGTAGCATATACGTTATGTGGTACCAAGTGAAATGGAAGATGCAGGTTTGGTGAGGAAGAGAAGGAGAATGTTGAATGTGGTTTTTTTGTTTTGGTTTTGGTTTTACAGTTTTTTTTAGAGACAGGGTCTCACTGTGTCACCCACGCTGTATTGCAGTGGCACATCTTGGGTTACTGCAACCTCTGCCTCCCAGGTTCAAGGGATCCTCCTGCCTCACCCTCCTAAGTAGCTGGGACTACAGACATGTGCCACCACACCCAGCTACTTTTTTATTTTTAGTAGAGATGGGGTTTCGCCATGTTGCCCAGGCTGGTCTCGAACTCCTGGGCTCAAGTGAACCACCTGCCTCGGCCTCCCAAAGTGCTGGGATTACAGGCATGAGCTGTCATGCCCGGCCCTTGAATTTAGTTTAGAATGTGTTGAACTTGAGTTGTTTGTGGGATATTAATCTTGAAATATGAATTTAAAGGAGGGACAGAGGTCACTGGCATATGGGTGATAATTAAAACTATGGGAGATGAATGACATAACATAAGGGTCTACCTTGGGCCTAGGTTTGAAACCTGGGGACACTAACCTTCAAAGAACAGGCAGAGGACATAAAGGAAACCATCTGAAAGTTAGTAGGAGAAACAGGAGAGAGAAATACCACCAAAAAGAGTTACGGTGTCTGATGAAACAGAGATTAAAGTAATCTGAGAACTGAAAAGTATCCATGGCTTGCTAATTAACGGGTATTTTGTGACTGTTTGGTATCCGTAGAGTGGAGGTGGAAACCAGATAGCTGTGAATTTAGGAATGGTGATAAAGGAGGAAAAGAAGGCAATAAATGTAATTACTGTAACTACTCTTTTGAGAAATTTTAATGAGACAAGTTGGAAACTAGAGGAAGATACAGGATCAATGGAAAAGTTTTGGAGGGTATATGATTTGGATAGGCTTAAGAGAAATAGCTATTAGAAAAGAGAAAAGGTTGAATATGAAGAGAGTGTAGAAAAGATAGGTTCAAGGCCAAATTTGATGAGATTGGCTTTGAATAGGAGGAGGGATGTGGATAGAAGTAAGCCTTTAAGAGAGGGAACTGGGGTTCACCTGTAATTCCTGCACTTTGGGAGGATCACTTGAGCCCAGGAGTTCAAGACCAGCCTGAGTAACATAGTAAGACCCCATCTCTACAAAGATTTAAAGAAAAACCAGCTGGGGATGCTGGCACATTCTCATAGTCCTAGCTACTAGGGAAGCTGAGGCAGAAGGATCACTTGAGCCCAGGAGGCTGAGGCTGCAGTGAGCTATGTTCACACCACTGCATTCCAGCCTGGATAACAAAACATTACCCTGTCTCAAAATAAATAAATAAAAAGGGAAAGTCACTCCGAATGACTTCATGTTCTCTAAAGAAATAAAAAGGGTGTTTGTCACTGAAAGGAGGGTTAGATACATGTTTTGAGGAGAATGGTGAAAGTTTAGAATAGAATTGAGGAAAGTGGGAGAGGTAGCTGACAAATTTGTTCCCTGACTGAGGGATTTTTCACCTGAACGGTATTTAAAGATATCACTGGTAGTGTGGATGCCATGAATGTGTTATATGAAAAAGCAGAAGGACTATATTTAATATAGAATATATTGATTTAGCATCTCTGTGTACAAAGCACTGTGCACATACACTTCCTGAGAGATTCAGATGAGCACTGGTCATCTTGTCCAAGGAGAGTATGAGCTAATAGCTCAGGTCATGTGATTTGTCACAAACGCAAATGTTTATAATAGATTAAAAATGGTAAATGGCACATGAGTTTTATAAACATACTATAACAGTTTGAAAGAGATAGAGATCCCATCAAATAGGTGGAAAATAAGAGGACTTTATGAAAAAGGCACAAAAAACGGCCATGTGTGAATTTTCTGTTGAAATAGTAATTATTCTGAATTTTTGATTTATTACACTATGTATTCTTCTATAATACAATGACTGGCATTAAACAGAAGAAGAGAAACAAAGAGATTAATGAAACAGTGAGTTCTCTCCTGTCCAAACAGTGTTCTAAAGTTGATTATATTTTTAGTAAGAATATAGAATTCAGTAATCATTTTCACAAACATTCCACAAATATGAGCATCTCTATTAGGTGCAAAAGATACAGACATGACTAAGATACAATTTCTGTCCTCAAAGAGTGCATACTCTAATAGAAGAAATAGAAGTAAAAGGAACTGTAGTTTTGTACAACAAGTGATATAAACATGGTATATGTAAGTAGTGAAGTTTAGGGCACAATGGAAGGAAGCATGAATAAATGATTATGTTGACATAACAACACATTTTTTTCCTTTTTCTTTCCTTTAGTTGGAGAACATCAATTAACAGGCCATAAAGTGGCAGTTAAAATCTTAAATAGACAGAAGATTCGCAGTTTAGATGTTGTTGGAAAAATAAAACGAGAAATTCAAAATCTAAAACTCTTTCGTCATCCTCATATTATCAAACTGTAAGTATTTTTGTATCTGATAATGCCAAAGAGACACCTGTCTTAAAATGTTTTTTAGGAATTTTATAATGATAGTTTATTGTTAACCTTTTACAAAGATGTTTTTTCATGTTCATATTCAGCAAGTGTTAATTCATTTAACCTTTATGAGTCCTTTTTTTGCACACTCTTGGTTAGAATGAACAGACATTGTTTCTAAATTGGTACTCTTCTCAAGTGATGAATGAAGCCTTAGAAGTTGGTTCTTATCCAACTTTAAATGTCGTTCAGGGTTTTGACATTTCTAGATTCATTTTTACAATTTTTATCTAGTCAATTTTCACTAACATATCAGGGTATTTTTTTCTTTGGAAAGTTGGAAAGTATATGTCAAAGATTATTTCACATAGTATGTTACTTGTAGAACTGAAAGTAATACTGTAATCATAAAGCTTTTAGGAAGGCAAATGTGTTTTTTTCCCCTTGGAATAAATTACAAACTTAAAAGTCAGGTAAATATAGAGATAAATAAGATAATTAATTCAAAGATAAATAAATAATTATTTTAAAATTGACTAGACCCTAGAAAATATAAATATTAATTGTGCAATACTGTGTTTCTTTCAATCATTTAAAGTTGCAGTTTAATATTTGTTGAGAAAATGTAACGTGCTAGACGCTAACAACTGTCTCATTTATCTTTAAGCTTGGATACAGTTTTATAAGATAAGTATTGCTCTTACTTATTGAGTACCTGGTAGTGGTCTGGAACTGTACCAAGCATTTTTTTTTTTTTCTTTTTGGTCAAGGTTCTGCTGAATGTATGGAGCATTTTACATCTTTAATTTAATGTTATCTTCGTGATCAGTGTCTAAAGTAGGCTTACTTTATAGACAAGGAAACTGCATTATCTAAGAAGTAATAGCAGCTTATCCAAGGCCACACACCTAGTAAGTCACAGAGCTGGTAGTTGATGTCAAACCTGATTCCAAATGCCATGCTGTTAATGCTCTAGCACTCCAGTTTTTCTTAAAACTGAGAGTTATATAAATTCCTTTTAAAGAAAAAAGAAATTTATGGATCCCCGATTTTGACTTATTTTTAACATACCATTACTTAAGAAACAAAGCCCTACGTATAAACTTTATATGTATATAGTTTGAATGCAACTATGAAACCAAAAGAAATTCACAATTTAAATACAAAAAAACCCACACTGGAATCAATGGAATTCAAAGCAGTATCAATAGTATAATGTGACAAATAATAGTGTTTCATAACAACCAAATCATTGTTAGAGAGTTTAATAGTGGAAACAGTAGGAGGAGATCAAATACTAAATTTATATTGTGAATCAAATAAGATTGGTACAGAGAAAGCGTGTTCACACAAATCTACTATTAAAAAAGCAGAATTAGGCTGGGCGCGGTGGCTCACGCCTGTAATCCCAGCACTTTAGGAGGCCGAGACGGGCAGATCACAAGGTCAGGAGATCGAGACCATCCTGGCTAACACAGTGAAACCTCGTCTCTACTAAAAATACAAAAAAATTAGCCGGGTGTGGTGGCGGGCGCCTCTAGTTCCTGCTACTCCGGAGGCTGAGGCAGGAGAATGGCGTGAACCCGGGAGGTGGAGCTTGCAGTGAGCTGAGATTGCGCCACTGCACTCTAACCTGGGCGACTGAGCAAGACTCCGTCTCAAATAAGTAAAAACAGTATTAATATCTCTGAGATGTTATTTGCTAGTTCATTAAAATCAGACATTATATTTAGGCTGACCTTTGTCAGTGAGCAATCTTTGAATGTCAGCATTAATGGGAACAACTTGATAACCCTGTGGAGTTATGTTGTTTACTTGATGACAAGAGTAGCATGTAAGTGTGGTAAGCAGAATAATACCCACCCCCCATATCTATTTCCTAATTCCCAGAATTTGTGAATATGTTAGGTTGCATGGCAAAGGGTAACGTTGCTAAGCAGCTGACCTTAAACTAGGGAGATGATCCTGGATCATGTAGGTGGGCTCAATATTAACACAGTGGTTCTTAAAAGTAGAGAAGAGTAGAAGAAAAGAGTCAGAGAAAAAGGTCTGAACTTGGAAACAACATCAGAATGATAAAATGTGAGAAGCACTCAACTGGCCGTTGCTGCCTTTGAAGATGGAGAAAAGGGAGCATGAGTCAATGAATGCAGGCAGTCTCTACAAGCTGGGAAATGCAAAGAAATTCTGCCCCAGAGCCTTCAGAAGGCAACACAGCTGTGCTGACACCTTGATTTTAGCCCACTGAGACATATGTCAAGATTTTAGGATAAAGAACTGTAAGATAATACATTTGTGTTGTTTAAAGCCACTGAGTTTGAAGTATGGCAGCAATGGGAAACTAATACAGCATCATTCTTGAAATCCTTAAATAAATGGCTGGTCCAGTTATTGTTGAGATTTGGAACATTCATTTAGTCTTTACTGCTGTACTTATCGTTAGTGAACTATGGCGATTTGGTATTTTTAATGAACGGACCCATGCGGTGCATCTTACGGGCAGCATGAGTATGCCACTGACTGTTCAGAGCAGGCTTTTATGGGATTGGTGTGGATGACCGGTGATGACTCAGTTCTCACATCACTGCTATGAAACCTTCATTCTTAGAGTAAGCTTCGATGTCATATGATCTTCACTTGAAGTTCACTTAGTCATAAACATAAACAAACAAAAAAAAAAATGAGGTCCCTGAAATTGCATGGCAGTACTTGATTATGAGGTTATCATCCAGGACCTATGTATTAGATGGTCCAGAGTATGTATATGGAGGTTTTTAAAGATTATCATAAGAATTAAAATTCCCCCATGATCTTGGCGACTCACCTCTCCTATCCTTTGTTTCTTTAACTTGAAAATGGGACACCTCATTTGAGGATTAAATGTGTTGGCACTGGTATAATCCCTAGTATTTGATGAGCATTGGCCCAGAGCAGGAATTAGCTATTTACAAACTAATTCCAGTCCTCTTTCATTATTCCAAATGGTTTTCACTTAACTGAAACAGTTCATCTCTGACTTCAACTCCATGTTATTAATGACTTTGTTCTAGTTACTGGGTAACATCTAAGCTAAATCTCTTTGCTCTTCCCCACTGAGTGTCCACTTCCTATGAGAAGAGAGAGCTGAAATGGCCAGACTAAAAGTGTCATATGCTAGAAAGAAAGTGGAGAAGGGAAAGATCTTTCCATATTTGCCTTACACCTTGACCTCATCACTTTTACAATGCCAACCCTGAAAGATTTTGAGGAAATTTTACCCATTTGGGCATGAGTCCTACTATCTCTACAGTTCCTAAAAGCACAAATCAGATTTTATAGATAAGCAGTTGCGGTTGTCATGAGGATTCTAAGGCTTCTTTTCCTTTTTTTTTTTTTTTTTTTTTTTTTTTTTTAAAACAGAGTCTAGCTCTGTTGCCCAGCCTGGAGTGCAATGGTGCAATCTTGGCTCACTGCAACCTTCTCCTTCCAGATTCAAATGATTCTCATGCCTCAGCCTTCCAAGTAGCTGAGACTACAGGCATGTGCCACCACACCCTGCTAATTTTGTATTTTTTGTAGAGACAGGCTCTCCGCCATTTTGCCAGGCTGGTCTCAACCTCCTAAGCTCAAACCATCAGCCTGCCTCAGCCTCCCAAAGTGCTGAGATTACAGGCTTGAGCCACTGCGCCCAGGCCCAAAGATTTATTTGTGATGTCATATTTATCAGTGTTTTCTTGCCTCCATTTCTTTATTTACTTTCAATCATTTTATTTTTGTTTGGCTGTCTCATTCTGATACAGGATTATTTAATTGTTTGCTATTTTCTGAAGGAATTGTAGAAGATTGTCAGAGTTGATCAGAAAGTAATTGGTAGAGGTGAATTTGCAGTTTAAAACTTTTGGCTTCCAGCCTCAAGATTAATTCATTCAGCTACATTGCCTCTTTAATTGTAGGTCTGATCTTAAAACAAAAAACAAACAAACAAAAAAAAACCCACTCATGTATTTTTGCTACCGTACAAGCTTATTAGTCTTTAACAGTGTTAGTGATTTAAACAGAGAGAGCAACCTTATCCTTTCCGTGGTTTTCTTTTGTGTAGCCTTGGACTGTCAGTAATAGTTTCCTTATTGCAAAAATGGAACTCTGGAATTAGCAAGAAAGTTTGGGCACTGAATGCCAAGAATGAAGGATATTTATTGCATGATTTCTTTATTAACCCAAATTGAAAAAAATTACAAATGAATAACCTAAAACCCACTGGTAGAAAATTAAAAGGAGCAAACAGGATTTAAAGAAAAATCCACTTTCCCATGAAGTAGAATTTGTTGAATTGATTCTTTCCTTGTTTTTCTTTCCTCCACAGTTATTAATGCAACTTGATTTTACTTGGTCAAAAGATGAATGCTTGCTAGTCTGGTAGAGATGATTTGATTTTGTCTAATTCTTTTTTGTTTGTTTGTTTGCTTGTTTGTTTTTTTGAGACAGAGTCTCGCTCTGTCGCCCAGGCTGGCATGCAATGGTGCAATCTTAGCTCACTGTAAGCTCCGCCTCCTGTGTTCAAGTGATTCTCCTGCCTCAGCCTCCTGAGTAGCTGGGACCACAGGCAACCGCCACCATGCCCAGCTAATTTTTGTATTTTTAGTAGAGACAGGGTTTCACCATGTTGCCCACGATGGCCTCGATCTCTTGTCTCCGTGATATGCCCACCTTGGCCTCCTAAAGTGCTGGGATTACGGGCGTGAGCCACCGCACCCGGCCTGTCTAATTCTTTTTAGTCTATCTTATTTAACGTATGGCCAGCTTTTTAACATCATTAACTGCCAGCACCACCTTGAAATGTCTCTAGGTTTCCATGACACCTTAGGCTTCTGTTTTCTTTTTTTCATTCTTGTTTATTCTGAAAACTTTCTTTTATGGGCCCCTCTTTATCTTCCTGGCTGTTAAGTATTGATGCAGTCAAGTATACCGAGCTACTGCAATTTTCTTAGTGAACCCTCTTTTGA